CAATAACTCTACGATTGCTAACGCAATCTCCGAGTTAAAAAGTATGTTTGAGAAATCGACAATGACCGATCCGCAACCCAAACCAAAGAAAAGAAAAAAGGAAGAAAACTAAGAACATTCTGTTGTAACCCAAAGTAGCTCTTAAAACAGAACATAACTTTTTTGAAGACTTTTTTTAAGCAAATTATTTTCTTTCAATTTTGACTATCAATGGTTATTTATGTCAGCGTACCATGATTTAGCTTATCAATAATGTCAAATTATTGATGAAATTTTCAAATAAAACGATTTATGACAAACAACTCTGTCCTTGATTTGTGCACATATATTTTTGCATATTAATGTTTTTTCCGCACAAMACATATTAGTGGGGGGAATCGTATCGATGAAGGCGATCATAATTGGACTGYCAAGTCAATATCATGATTAAATCTCAGAGGGGGTGCCGATGTGTTGATCACATATAAGGATTCATTAAGTAGGAGGGTCAGGGAGGGGGTATAGGGTTGAATTTGTATATAGATCAAGTCGTGTTTTACCTTTAACACGGGCTAAAGATAATATGGACTGAATGAAAACAATCTGGACGATCAGAAATTTACCGAAGAGGTTAAACTTTACCCGATCTCAGCCAATCACAGTCGAGTATTTTGAGAGAGGATTAGGCACAGTAATCTTTACCCGTTGATAGCCAATCATAGATAAGCAAACAAGTAAACTTTACTTTCACGGGTAATCTTTACTCTTTCCTATAAACATATGTTCGCGAAATATCGAAGATTCGCAGAAACGTACCGCAAAAAACATTCAGAATTAGAAGAGAATTGAGAGAAAAAAGGAATTGAGAGGGGTTTTTGCTAGGTCACGCGATATTTCAATACCGCGCTTCTTTGAAACACGGTCGGCGTTATTCCGTGTCGGTATCATCATCACGTTCTTTGGTTTTACATCAGTCWATCAAAATCGTAACTTCAATAACTGACTATAAGTCGTAAATATCCAAAGTAATTAGCTTTATTGAATGCTTGAGTGTGTGAATTTACTGAATGTACTTTAAGGAGTCAGAATTTACAAATGGAGTTTTATTTAACACTTCATTGAATCAATATTTCGCTGTTTTAAACTGGTTGTGAATCCAATCCCGCTAGTGCTAGCGTTTATGCAAAACAAGTTCGCCTTCAAATGGTAATCTTTACGCGTACTTGCTCAATAGATACGTTCATGAAATATCAGTTTCATAAATTTATTTCCGCTATAGACAGTTTAATTAGATGAACATTCGAGAATCAAGGTCGAAGTGTCGTTCATTTCGTACGGTACCGATCATTTCATATACCGATAAAGCACAGAATATAAAAACTTCATGGAAAGAAGTATTAGAGTATTTTTAAACGCGCGAAGCATGGGTTCGACCGGCTCGATGGCGCGASCTTTTAAGGTAACAAAATTCAAAACAAAGAAAGGCGGCGCGGCATATTTTGWTCACAAATCGTTTTCCCTCTGTATTTCATCAACTTCGTTCATTTCTAAATATCAAATACAAGAAAAAAATACCAGAAAATTATATTACAGCATTTTTCTGTGCTGAAAATAATCAGAAACACGTTCTAATACGGAATGAAGACCCGAGAAATGACCAATGCCAGCGTACTCGAAAACTCAAAATCCCTGTCTTCATGGTTGGTCACCAAAACACTCGTATTTTAACCCAAATCATCCAGCACTTTAAGTCAATCAATAAGGAATAAATGTAGGTGAAGTAAAACGTATTTTACGTCATGTTTCCCCCAAATATTCAGCGATTACTCGCAGAATTTGGCTTTTTCAGCGAATTTTTTCAAATCGCACAATAATGCGCTSATTTCCTAAAATATAACAGAATCCGAGTATAATTTGAACTTTATATTTTTTCAGCATAGCTCTATCAAAGCTAAGCTATATTTTGGCGGGAATTCACTGTTATCGCGGTAATGTTTACCGTCTAGATGGCGCCAACGCTGTCTTAATGATTACACTGGCTGGTTTGTGGCAACTAGTCATTGTGAGAGCGATTATCAACGTAAATTTTTTGATATTCAAAAATTTCATTGTTACAGCATGAAGCGAAGATAAAAATAAATGATCATGTCGCTGTTTGAACGACAGGCGCTAAAAGACCTTCTTAAGATTTTTATTTAAAATCGTACAGTTGTGTTAAAACACAATTATATATCCCACTAACGAACRATGAAAATTATATCATTTGAACATAACAAATGCGCGATTGGCACTACCGCTTCACGYCATGAGAAAGTTTTTACAATATTTTAACTCGGCTAGTAATACGAATTAATTCGTAATTCTTGATGCAAACCGCACTATTTGATGATTACTTCTTCTGTTTTGGCGGTCTTCCCCTTTTCTTAGATTTTACTTTCTTCTTAGTACTTGATCCAGCTTCTGGCTTAYTAGTCGTTCTTCTTTTTTTACCTGCTATTATCTAAAAACAAGGTATTAAAATATTTCGTGTAGAATATAAATCGATTAAGAGACATGTATAATTGTCAAACACTGAAACTTTCACTTAATTGCGCTCAACAAATCACAAATAAGATAATTGAAAATGTATAAAAAGACAACAAATTACATTATCACATGCAAGCACACTTTACCTTTGCGATTCTCAAGAATATTTGAAGTAGAACATTGAGGGTAAGATTAGTATTGTGCTTCCACTGTAGGAGGTCTACGAAGCTGAACACTCTTCTATGCCAATGGGAAATCGCACCAGTAACATGAGATTTAGGTAGTGGGATTGTTCTGTCTATTAGTGTATAAAAAGGTTAGGAATCAACTTTTCACCTGATACAGCGAATCAAACTTGCACAGTGGGAAATTCGAGACTATTGTGTGACTTATGTGCATGGAGGAAAGAATATTGAAAATTCAATAAATGAAATGTCGCTTACTTTTGATATGGTAGTCACATGAGGAAGATTTGCCTTTGCCTGGTCCATACCGTCAACTATCAGTGAAAGATATTTCTCAGGCTCTAACTCTGCTTTTAGTCGGTTGGCATAATAGTGATTTCTTTCTGCACTACGTACAAAGAAGACAAGGTAGACGTTTCACTTGAATGTACATGCTAAAAGGCCATAAATATTTAGCAATTATTGAATGAAGAGAAACAGACAGGACTTACTTTCACGACTCATTCCCATGTAAACTACTTACCATTGCTGTTCGAGGAGTACTTTTCTTTTAACTGATAACTTCTCTCTTTCCTTGACATCTTGTGTATTTCTTAGAGAATGTTTTAACAGTGTACATACGCCACATTTAGTAAATTTGTTTTGCTGAAAAGAAAAAAAGTATCTAGGTTAATTTTTGAGCTTATTTATATTAATAAATAATACCTTCGGGATGATAACCTTTGAGAAATGCTGCCTCCACATTTGTTTAAATGACGCCTTACATACAAAGTCAATTTTGCCATTTTTACAGTCACTCAGGTACAACTTGTAGATTTTTAGATTGACAAGAGGGTAGACAGATCCTGTCCTCGTGTGGCATTCTGTCACCGGAACTCCCCACGTGCCCTAAATAACGTAAATTTTGATATATCAGCATTTTTATCGTTGAAGCGCTACCTTAACGGTAATATACAGAAACATTTATTTCTAAAACAGGAAAATAAAATTAATTAACGAAAACGGCTGCAACATATATGCATGTTCCTTAAATGACTTACTCTCTAACCATACTATGGCTATATGCATACGGGAAGTCATCCACGTTACTCCACAGCGATTGCTTTCCCCTGCTGCTCTTCCTTCCTCGTACTGCCTAAGCAATCCACAAAACCTGCGTACAAAAACAAGAATCTCATTGAAAATTGGTCAATGCTGTGGTGATGTTCGATTTCCGTCACGCGAGCACTRTAATGCCCAAAACAAATGTGCTATGTCTTTCCATGTAACAAACTGTTAATTCGTCATTTTACTTCATAAGTGTTTTAGTCAGTTCTTACCATCCATGAGAAATCCCCAGTATTTTGTACCAAGCATTATGGCAAACTGCTTTCCCATTTACTGAGAACGAGAACCTCCTCTGATGTGTTTCCCGACTGTAGTATAAGCTTAACGCAAAAGCATTTAAAAGGTACTGCCTTTGCTTATCTTGGGATTTTTCCCAGAATGGTTTCCTCCACTTTTTTATTTCCTCAGTTTCAAATGCTTTCATGAATTTGTTAGCCTTGCAACAGCTAAAGGAAAGGTCCTTCTTTATTTGTGCGTTTTCTAATGCTCTAATCTTGCGAACATGTCGTTGTTTCTGCTCTTTTACCTAAAAGCGGGCAAATATAAAATCTGGATCATTTTACAGTAAGTATAACAATTTAGATAGTGCTTTGAAAATTGAATCGTTTCATTGGGTCACGTCGTTATGGTAGCAAAAAGTTTAGAAAGCATAACCATTTGGCTTATGTTGTTAAATTTATGGTTCTTTCTCGCAACAAGTGCACTGTGTTCATTCTTGAATGAACGGAATCTCTGTAGGGCATCTTCCTAAAGAATAAAAATTAAGAATGTTTAAACCAACCATTTACAATTGCAAGTCTTGTAATCAAGCTGTGAACACTAAGTACAGTACATCCTGACCTACCACATCTCCTAATTCAGCTTGTTCATCTGAATTATCCTCTGATGAACTTTTCTCGCACCACCTGGAAGGTTCGTTTATCAGCACCTAAATATGTTAATAACAGAAATATTAAAATCACATACAACTGACCATGCACGATAACTATTTTAAACTTACTGATCCATCCGGATCCGAGTCTGATTCCTCCATGTTTTTACATTTATTTGTTTTTTTATTCTTCTATGCTTTTTAGTAATATCAATAAAGGATAGAGGACAGACACCTGACAAATAAAACATCAAACATTTCAACCAGAAAAAAGTGAGCTAACAAAAACTGACATATAATCATTGGTAACCTTAGATTCGCGGTTTTGAATGATCGATACATGATACAGTACGACTGCAATATAATCAGTAAATTCAGTCTTTTTTTCGATTAATCATCATGAGTTAAAATATAACTAATTGTTAACCAAAAAACCTCACACAAATCATTTATATTTATTAGAATTGCACTTACCATAAATGTTAGTTTGCGGTGAAACCAGGACCTGTGTTAGCGCCCAATGATCACCAAAAATACTATAGTGGTATTAAATGGCCGATGCCTTTTCACTCCAAAAAATGACATTCACATATGAACAGCTTCTCTGTTAGGTTATACGTTTAGTGATCAGAACCGTCAGAATCAGAATAAAGTCCTAAGCAAAATCAGTGATGAGTATCCTTCAGAAGGCTACGTTCTGTAATGCAATTCCCCATCTCTGCAAGGTAGTGCTCAAAGTAGTGCTCTCGCCTTGCTAAGCAGTCATCTATTGCACCATGCATAACTATTCAAACTATGATTGCACAATTGACTCAGCATTCTTATATGGCTGACGTTATAGCACAAATACGACACAAATCTATTTCGTGTCCGAATATCGAGTGAAAAATATTTGTAGTAGTATTTKGCAATGCAAAGGACTTATATATAGAGACTTTGGGCACAGAGAGATCTATTTAGTTGCAACGTTGTGTACACTTCATTCCGATGGTCAACACCTCAGCAATCATCGTCTAAGACAGTTTACAGAATAAGTGGCCGATGCCTTTTCACTCCAAAAAATGAAGATGACGTTCCGACAGTCGATGGGACAAACTTCCAAACGATTTCTACAGCAGCCTTTTATCCCATTTTGCCAAAACCATCTTCAGCTGCCCATGGCCCGATGAAACGCAAACCTCCCAGTAAGTATCGTCCACCGGAATTCATTCCAACTGTAATTCGTATGCGGGAGCTTCTGTACGAGGACGAACTAGATAAAATGAGTGAGCCTACTAGAGACTCTATTAAGTTAGCAATTTGGAAATGAAAATTGAAAAAGGAGCCTTGGTTTTCTGACGAAAATGTAAGTGCTGTTCATTTGTGTTTATATTCGTTACTTGGAATAATAATGATGATCTATACTGTATTTTTTTCAAAAGCAACTGAAATTTTACATTTGAAGACGGCCAGGTTGTCATCAAGGTGCTTTAAAAGATTGTTAGAAATAGACGATAAAATGAGATCAGAATGTCTCAAGATTGGTTCTGCAAAAAGAATCACTCAGTCCGTTGTGAAGGATATAATCTATAACGTAGAAGAGGAAGAGCAATTCAATATATTATHAAGCATGGCCAATGGCGAAGTTACGTCATTGGCAAGTCTTAAAAGGAATAACAAGGTATTTAGAAACTACTGCTATCATAAGTTTTGTTTCAAAAGTGTTATTTTATTCATTGTTATTAACATTACTTCTTTTCTAAGGTCAATGTAGAGCCGAAGAAAACAGACCACGAAGAAACTCAAGAACACGTAAAGTCGACTACTTGAACATATTAGCATTGCCGGAAATTCCTTCCCCCTATTATGTTATCTTTTTATTTGCTACCATTATATACAATACATTAAATATGTTTTTGACCAATTTCAGTTATTGGATGAGATACGTGACCTCAAGAACAGGAACGTAGATCTTAAAATCAATTTAGAAGACGTAGGTGTAATTAATTATATTTCTGAATTATTTAAGAAATAAACAAGACGGAAAAGTTTATTTTTCTATTTTCTAGACGTTGAAAAAAAACGAAGAATTGCTCTCCACCAACAAAGGGCTAGAGCGAAAGCTATACGCTTTAAATAAGGAATATGAAAAGGTATGCAGAAACAAAACTTATGAAAAAAGGGTGCCGAAAAAAATTGATTAAAACTGACAAAAACTTTTTTGTTAAGGCCCTCTCCTTGGTAGAAAGAACACAAAAACAAACTGAGTACTGGAGAAACAAATTCGTGCAAGCTACAGTGCTTACACAATCAAAATGTATTCATACAGCCAACGTATAATATTAGTTCTAGAGTAAACTCACTAAATCCGTGAAATAGTAATTTCACTACTAAAAGAGTGTTAGAGACAATAGAAAACGAATGAATAGTAGTATTTATTACTCGCTCTAACTGATGAATCATCAACAACGTGACTGAGTAAGCATAATGTTAGCACAAATGAACAAAATGTTACATTTACTTCCTTATTACTAGTGATCTTATTTCATAGATGCCTTGATGAAAAAAACTCGAATTACACAATCTCTCGTGGGCAGGAAAAGAAAGCCAGATATGASAAAGGTAGCGTGGGACTTGCTAATACTGTAAAACGCTAGAGATTTATTGTTTTGGCAAGTATTCAGTCTACARTGTGAATGAATTGTCTTACAACATTTTGTTACACATTGTTTTTTTTTTTTTATTTCAGAGTAATTTAAATGAACCAGAGAATGAATCTTTGGAAGAGATTGTAGAAAGCGCTCAAAAGATTTCTGCTTCGACCACAGCCGTGAGTATAATTTTTATGTCATTTGCCTTTCCCTCATTTCGGATTGCTACACTTAGTTTCTTTTTTTTTAATTTCAGAGTCATTCAGAGGAGCCCGAAAATGAATATTTTCAAGAGATTGCAGAAAGCCCTCAAAATATTTCTGCTTCAGCAATAGACGTAAGAATAACCCGTGTGTTCACTTGGCATTTTCATTTCTGATTGTTACCCTTTTTTTATTTCAGGATAATTTAAATGAGCTCGAGAATGAGTCTTTCGCAGAGATTGCAGTTTAAGCCCTCAAAAGATTTCTACTTCAGCAATAGACTGAATTTTCTCTCTGTTATTTGGCGTTCTTTCATTTCTGATTGCGGCACTTTTGTTAATTTCAGAGTAATTCAAATGAAGTCGAGACCGAATCCTTTGAAGAAATTGTAGAAAGCCCTCAAAAGATTTCTGCTTCAGAAATAGACGTAAGAATAACCCGTACGTCACTTGGCTCATTTCAAATTGTTACACTTTTTTTGTTTTATTTCAGAGTTATTTAGAGAAGAGATTAAGAGATTAAGAGATGAAGAGATTATAGAAATCCACCAAAAGATTTCTACTTCCAAAATAGACGTAAGTATAATCTATATGTCATTTGACATCATTGTCTCAATAACGTGACAATTTTACAGTAAATTTGGTTATGCTTTTTCATATTAGAATAATTATAGCAGTGAACCCCAGAATGAGGCATTTAGAGYAGATRCYGTTGTGCCATGCAGTGAAGACGAAGAAGAAGTAAGCAAAACTATGCAGCAATAAATATAGCGTATTGTTGCTTAAATGTTCTCACAAACCACACGCGTAGAATATTAACATGTATGTTACTCATTTTTTCCTGTCCAAAGTCAGACGTGGGTGTTGCTGGTTTGACGAAGCTATCGTTGGGCTTGGACAAACTACGCCAAACGTGGGAAAAGAAATCTAAGGAAACTAAAGTTGAATTAACGGTAAAGCATGTGTATATATTTACGACGTATGCTGTGAATCGAAACAAGCGAAAACGATAGTTTAAATTACTAATGAATAAAAATCACGTATTTTTACTGCCTCACTTCCAAGTTATGCACATCAACCGATTATGTGGATTAGCCTAGTAAATGTTACTGCGCAAAGAATTGAATTGTTTGCTCTGTTATCAACAGAATAAACGTGAAATGCCAGTGGAATTCAAAGATGAAATTATTACAGGGTCAAAAAAGTTGAAAACTCAGGTATGTCTTTGATAGGTTAAACGA